GGCTGGGGGAGAGAGGGAAGAGGAATGGAGAAAGGGAAGGAGAGGAAAAGATTATGGTAGTGCACGAAGATCTTAAAAAAAGATCAAAAATCTGAAAAATTTGAACTCTGCCTAAATCTTTATTTATTTCAAGGCTTGGAGTTGAACACTGAGGTTGAAAGCTTGATATTTCCTGATAGAGACTCCAGGAGTACGTCATGGGTGAGCCATGGGAACCTTGTTCTGGCAGGGGATATTATCAGAGCAGTGTCCTGGGGGTCAGAGGCACACATTCCCAGTTACTGGCAGCAGAAACTATTTGCAAATCAAAATCAATTTTAAATTTTTAAACCCTGGTGTAGCAAATTACCCAATGCTCTTGTAATTTGTAACCCTTTACACAGTCTAGGTCATAGAATCACAAGACCAGTTTGAGTGACGAAGCCACTTTTAGCCCACTTGATCTAATTCCTCCAGAATACACACCCTCCCGCGTTCCTGTCACAGCATCAAGCTGTTTTTGAACGACTCCAGTGTCCTGGCCTCAGCCACCCTTCCCTGGTAACTTGTTCCAGTCATTCATTAGTCTCTGGTTAAAGACAAACATCCTGAATTCACTCTTTGCAACTCTAAACCTGTGTCGTCATTCTACTGTTTTCGTGCATCATAAAGTGTATTTATAGTATGAACAAAGTATTGTTAATCCCATATAAAATTTTACACACCCCTATAAGGTCCCCAAAAACAAATTGACTTTGGAGTTCAGGAATGGTGTTGGTTCCTCTTGGATCACCGAGGGCAGAATACGTCACAAATTTGGTGGGAGGAATGACCTAAACGGAGCCCGAACAGTATTTTATAAGTTGTATTAAATTTTATAAACAATATTAATAAATTGGTTGCCGTGTCTTCGCCCACAAAATACACAGTCAATTCACTTTACAATATAATCTGTCAAGCGCTTTGAGACGTCTCAACAATGTGATAAGGCGCTATATCAAATGCAAGGATTATGAGGAGACTCATATAGAATTGTGTCCCAGGTCTGCTTGGAATTTTTTTCACTGATTGCCTGGTTTGGTGAGAGCAATGAATAACTCACTCTATTGGAAATTAGCAAGCCATTCAACATGTCACAGGGAATATCTGCAGGGTGTCTAGTCTAGTCCTATCTTACTGATTTCCAATCCTTATTGAATTACTTATGATTAAAGTTTAACAGCAGTGACAGAGAAGAGCGCTTATACACTGTGTTTCACCCACAAAATAAACAGTCAATTTGCTTTATTAATTAATTTAATATTCTGTGAAGTCCTTTGAGATGTCTGAACAACACGATAAGGAGCTATATCAAATGCAAGGATTATTATTGTTATTATTGTTACTATTGCTATTGTAATACAAGGTAAGTAGCTCTTCCCAATTGAAAAAGGAACAATGAGGAAACCACCCTTTGGTGATTCCTCTTGCTGTGGGGTTAGCATAGCAGCTTTTTATGCAGCACTGTTCTGTAGGAGGTGAATCCCTAAACAATGCCCATGTAGAGCAGATGTAAGATATCACCACTTTACTCTGCTGATCACAGTCACTTCACCCAGGCAAATGGTAATGGATGCTTTATTTACTTGGACATATTTTACGTTCATTAGCCTACTGGGATTGAATGTCAGGAAACTGATAGCCTCACGGCAGAGTTAGATGCGCTCTCCCCTTCCTCTCACTTTTCCTAGAGTGTGATGTAGAATTAAATTTTTCACTAGTTAAAATCTTAATAGAAAATTAACAATTTAAAGGGGCAAATTAAAAGCTCAAAGATCAGCTAGATTTGGAATGAATCTGAACTGTACTGATTGTGATTGTGGTTCACCTACAAATGCACCGTCACTACATTTCACAGTAAAATCCTGTGAAGGGCTTTGAGATGGCTCGACGATGGGATAAGGCGCTTTATAAAGTGTAAGGATTATTATTATTATAGGATTAGAATTTGGTTAGCTCCATTCCCTGCCATGTACCTGTGCTTTTTATAATAATCCTAATAATCCTTACATTTGATGTAGGGCCTTTCAAGTCAGGAAGACAACAACAACAACAAAATTACATTTGTATAGTACCTTTCACGTCGGGAGGATGTCCCAAGACCCTGGACAGACAGAGTTATGGATCCGAGCTGGGGGTCAGGGTGGGGGATGGTGGAGGGTGGTGGGGAAGCAGGGAGATCAAAAGCACGGTCGAAAAGGAGGGTTTTGAGATGGGTCTTGAAGGTGGCAAGGGAGAGGGCAAGACGGAGGGACTGTGGGATGGAGTTCCAGAGGGTGGGTGCAGAGTGGCGGAAGGCCCGCCGGCCGATAGTGGGGTGAGCAAGGCGGGGACATGAAGCAGCCCAGAGCCCGCTGAGCGGAGGGAGCAAACAGGGTGGTAGGGGGTTAGGAGGTCGGAGAGATAGGGGGGGAGCAAGACCATGGAGGGCTTTGAAGGTAAGGACCAGGATCTTGAACTGTATCCTCTGTGTGATGGGAAGCCAGTGGAGTTGGGCAAGGATGGGAGAGATAGGGTCACGGAGTTTGGTGCGGGAGAGGACACGGGCTGCAGAGTTTTGGATTATCTGCAGCCTGTGGAGGGAGGAGTTGGGGAAGCCGAAAAGCAGTGAGTTTGCATAGTTGAGCCTCGATGTAATGAAAGCATGTATGAGGGTTTCGGCAGCCTGTGGTGTGAGACAGTGTCAGTGCCGAGCGACATTGCAGAGGTGGGGAAGGCAGAGCGGGTCATGGCACAGATGTGGGGTAGAAAGGATAGTTGAAATGTGGGGTAGAAAGGATAGTGTGCAACCATGGATGGTGATGCGTCAGCGTCCTAGGTCAGGATGGGCGGACGGGAGCCAATCAGGGGAGCCTCAGTCTTGTTGACTTTCAACTGAAGAAAGTTAGCTCTCATCCAGGACTTGATGTCTGACAGATATTCTGTCAGGACAGCAGTGGTCCTGGAGTCAAGGGTGGAGGCAGAGAGATAGAGTTGGGTGTCATCCGTATATATGTGGAAGTTAACCCCATGTCTGCGGATGATGTCACCGAGAGAGAGCGTATAAGATGTCCTAAAGAGCTTCACAGCACATACTGTAAAATGAATGACTGTTTTTTCTGTGGGTTAACGCGGCAGCTAATTTTGTGTAAAATAATGTTCCACAAACAGCCGTGGAATAAATCACCAATTTTATTTGGGGGATTGTTAGCCAAAACAGTGGGAAAGAGAAACTCCCTTCTCTTTTTGAGTACTGCTATGGGATCTTAAATGTCCACCTGAACAGGCAGACGGGGCTTCAGTCCAACATTTCATCTGAACATACAACACCCCCCGGCACTGCATTGGAGTGTGAGTATAGATATCGTGGGGCTTGATGATATCCTTGACGTGGGGCTTGAACCCACTACCTTCTGAATATCATTCATTGCCCACTGTTTCTACATATGTTGTCACCGGATGCAACTTTGCTGCATCACTTCAATTTGAAAAGAGAAGAGAGTTTCTCCCAGTGTCCAAACCAATAAACCCCCAGATTAAATTGGGTAATCATCCCATGGCTGTTTGTGGGACATTGCTGTGTACAAATTGGCTGCAGCGTTTGCCTATAAAGTGCACAGTCACCCCACTTTACAATAAATCCTGTGAAGCTCTTTAAGGTGCACTTCTAATGTGAAAGGCACTATATAAAGTCATCCTCCCCATCTATGTCCCCTTCCTCCCCACCCAGGCCAACCACACCGTCTTCTCTCTCCACCATGGCTCCTGCCACTCCTCCCTCCTTACACTCCTTTGCTCCCATTTCTACCTCCTCCCTCTCAACTACAATCACCCGCATGAAGTTCACCACCTGCTGTCTCGACCCCCTCCCCACCCAGTTGCTGGTCACACAACTCCCCCTCCTCTCCCCCCTGCTGGCCGATACTGTCAACCAGTCTCTCTCCTCAGGCTCTGTTCCACTGCCCCTAAAAAACGCTTTATCACACCCCTCAAAAAAAACACTCTTGATTCCTCTAATCTCTCACACTACCAGCCCATTTCCAACCTACCCTTCCTTGCTAAGGTTCTGGAACGCAATGTTGCAGGTCAACTTCGGTCACAACTCTCCCTCTCCTTGAGCCATGCACCAACCCTGTACCAGATCAGTCTTGCCAGCCTCTCTGTGTGCCTTTATTCATCATTCAACTGAGGCAACATCTTCACATGTTTGAACAAGCACCTTTCTTCAGCACGAAAAAATGTATTTGTAAGTAGGTGTGATTATTGCATCAAAAGAACAAGAAATGAACTGAGTTGACAGAATAATATAATATGGATGCCTTCAGGGTATGCAGGAACTCTAAACCAGTTTGGTGTAAATTCACAGGATGGGTCTTTAAACTGGACACATCAGGCTTGGATGCTTTGATTGTACATTAAACTAGTCCAGCTCCATCTGGTTTTGCCTAGTTCATGCTTTCTACACTCCCAACAATAAATCCTAAAGTCCTGATGCTGATTTGAACCCTTCAGGCAATAGTACAATGTATTTTTTTTCATTGGACCTCTTCGGACCCAGTCAGTAGTTTCCAATAACTTTGCTAGTAGGTAAAACTGTTTCCAAACTGACATCGGATCTTTCCTTTGCCCTCTCTGTCTGGCTATGCCATGGGATATTAAAGATTCCATGTACTATTTGAAAGGAGAAGGAAGTTTCTTTTGATGTCCTGGTTAATAAAGCCCCCGATAATATTGGTCATTTGGTTATGGAATGTTATGGAACCCTGCTGTGTGCCGTGTGCCGTGTACCATGTGCAGGGTTCTGTGTGATATGTGTTGGGTGCAGGGTGTATTGTGCCGGATGATGTGTGCTGGATGCCTTATTTGTGTTCCGTGTTGCACACGCTGAACCAAAGCTGTAGCCCTGCCACAGCAAATGGAGGCCTGCACAGCCACACAAAGCTTTCTGCGAATACTGTTCCAAATTTTTAAAACATGCTTTACATTATCCAGGACAAAATTTGTTTATTCTATAAACAATTAAAGGTTTTTATTATTAATCTGTTTTGCCCCTGCTCCAGATACACAGTATAAACTCCTTTGACATCTCTGCATCACAGGACAAACTGAAAACAGCATTTTCCCTTTTCTTTAAAAAAATTACAATAAATTAACCTAGGTGTATGTATACGATCAATCCTATACAATAATTTTTTTTAAAAAAAACACCCTTTGGAAAGAAATGACAAAGTAATGTTGAAGGAGCATTTTACAACATGTTTGTGTAACGTTTGGAATGTATTTGGTGAACAATGTCCCCAAGCATCAAATTTAACAAAGTGCTAAAATCTCCATCTTCAGCAAAATGTCTATCTTCAAGTTAGCCTTGCATCTTCTTGGTAGCACCCAGGTTATCCGAAGCAGTAATATCCATCGTCGGAGTCGTCTCTGCAGGCCTTTTTGATGGGTTCAGTGTTGTGGGAATCATCTGTTGCAAGACCATCTGAGAAAGCATCCAAGTCATTGGGGGTGTAGCGGTCTGGTAAGTCATCTGCTAACGTGTCCAGATAACTCCCCACGGATATCCCGTCAAGTTCATCGCTGCCGTTTTGCAGGCTGTTACAGCTGCCTCGGTGTGAAGTGTCCTGGCTTTCGACTAAACTGTACAGACTGCTAGCCAAACTGCTGCCCCTGCTAGCCACGGTGTCTTTGTCCTCCATTAGCCATTTGATCGACTCAATACCCTCATTGATGGAAAGTAACTGGTGCATCAGCTTGCCATCGATTGCCCTCAGATGAGCCTAGGATAGAGAACAGGGAAATATTCAGTCTGTATAACCCACACGCAATTGGAAAATTTCAACAAAGTTTTTGACTGTTTGCCCAACACTGTGGAACTGTGGGTAACAGTTCTAATGTTACACATTTGACTTTAGAAACTTGATGTCTGACCTTTTGTTTCTGTTCTCGTAAGTTTTGGCATTGTTTTAAATAGCAAGTACGATAAATGTTATTGCTGGACTCTTGAGTTTGTTTACATTCCCATGCACAATAACTTCTACAGTTTTCCAGACAATCATTCTTAAAATGTGTTCGCCTACTGAATTCTTTAACACTGAATTAAAGATTTTTTCACAATCTTAAATTTTAAGATAAATTTCCAGGCGCAGACTAATGGGGACTTTGGCCTTTTGGCCTCTGAAGTAATAATAATATTAATAATCCTTACATTTGCAGCACCTGTCATGGAAGGAGGACTTCTCAGAGCACTTCACAGGAGTCACTTCAAAGTGGAATGAAAGGGTGACTGTGGCAACCAATTTGCACACAGTAATGCCCCCACCAACAGCCTTAAAGTTAATGATCAATTTAATTTGGGGGACTGCTAGCCAGGAAATGAGAAATAACTCCCTTCTCTTTTCAAACAGTGTTAAGGAATCTTTAACATGCACCTGAGTAGGCAACAACAACAACAACAACAACAAGATTCCATTTATAAAGCGCCTTTCACGTCAGGAGGACGTCCCAAGGCCCAAGGCAGATGTAACCTTGGTTTTTATCATTTCATCCGTCGGACAGCACCTTCAACAACACAGGGCACCTCCAGCACTGCATTAGAGTGTCATCTTAGACTGGATTATTTTTGTACACTTGCTAATAATGGGCTCAAGAGTGACATTAGCAAAGTCTGAAAGCATGGTTTCTGGTTCCCTGGGAACTATGTCATATATGTCCCATGCATACATGTTTCATGAAGATGGGGGAATAAATTCAACCGTAAATATATTCTGTAATGCACTATGAGGTCGAGCTGTGTGTGGTGGTCTATCATTTCCAGGGGGCATGTGTTTAACGACAACAACAACAACATGCATTTATATAGCACCCTTCATGCAGGGTAGCATCTAAACAGTGGTGGAGCTTGATGCAGAGTCAAAATTTCAAATTTCTCCTGGAAGTTTTAGCAAAAATTGGCGCAAAACATACAAACTAATAGGCATTTACCTCAGTAATATTCCCAGCTTGTTTACAGGTGAACTGATTGTTTGTTCAGCAGCTTACCTGCCACCGCTTCTCTCACTCGGTCAAAGGAAATGGATGACATCGTTACTGTAGCTTCACAATTCTGGTTTGATAATCTTAATCCCTTTTTTGTACACGATGAGATTGTAATCTCTGTGCTTTTCTTGTCAAAAAGCCAGCAAGATATACATCTAGGAGGCTTATTCTCTTCCATTGTTGCCCTTCTGGCCTCTTCCCTAAAATAAATAATTGTTCTTCACCCCTTGCCGGGCACATCACCTTACAGGAAGCTCAGCCCACATCAGACCCGCTGACCTTCTTTCTTCCCCCCCACCCACACCCCCCAAATAGTCACTAAATCACTCTCCGGTGCCACAATGAGCATGTGCAGAAGAAGGAAAGTGATTGCCTTAGAGCTGTGATGGGAGGATAATATAGAAGGTGTTGTGGAAGGTTGAGATCATATGCCCCGAAAGGCCAGGTTATAATAATAATAATAATCCTTACATTTTGATATAGCGCTTTTCACGTCAGGAGGACATCCCAAAGCGCTTCACAGAATATACTGTAAAGTGAATTGACTGTATATTTGTGGGCGAACGCGGCAGCCAATTGCGCACAGCAATGTCCCACAAACAGTCGTAGATTGAAAATGACCAATTTATTATTGTTTTTTTTTGGGAAGGATTATTATTAGGTGTGTGGAGTAAGGAAACTTGCCCAAGGTTTCGCTCTGCCTGGAATTGAACTCAGGTCTCTCACTTGCAAAGCGAGTGCTCTTAACCACTGAGCTACAGGTTAACCTGAACCAAGATCGTGATCTTGTGAAGCTTCAAGAAATTACTTTTATTACAGTAATTTAATTTGAATTACTTTAAAGGTCCTTTAATTTACTAAGCCACTATACAAATGTAATTTAGTTGTTTTATAGAGACAGGCACTTGAAGTTTAACCCTTTAATGCCTTTCAATTACTCACAGTATAATTTAGCTGAACAAGATTTCTTCTCACTTGTTCTTACACCTCTGAGGTTGGGTTTAAATTAAGTCCTGACTGAAAGGAGATGTCAATAGGGAAGGAGTTTGCTATAAAATAGGGCCTGACTTTTCACTAGATGAACCTGGGAAGGGTGGAGCAATATGGCAGAAGAAAACTACTGTAAATAAGAAACTAAGTGATGACAATCGGAACAAGTTGTTTCCTAATAAAAAGAAATTCCTTAAGCTTTACTTCAATGACAATGCTGCAGCTTGTAAGGCTGTAATCTATGTGTTGAATCTGAACAAATATAATAATTAACAAGGACTTTACACAGCACCTTTGTTGACTCATGGCACATTTTAGTACATATTGGAACACTTGGGTGGTCAGGATAGACATTTTATGTGTGCAGGTGTGTTCAGGATGAAGCACTGTGATGCTGCCATGCAACACCAGCAAGGTTTATAGAGGTCAGGACACTGGATTCATTTAAAAAGCAACTTGATGCTGTGATGGGAGGACAATAGGGGGGTAGTCTGCAGGGACAAGGTCAGATGGCTGAAGGGCCTTCTTCATCCAAACCAATGGGATTTATTATGGAGAATTATATCTTGAATAGGACCAGACAAAGGAACCACAGTGGTCTTTTCCAGCTCTGTAAATGCCTGTCATGACTGTGCTGTGGAACTCAGAGCCCTGAGCACAAGCGTATTCCCAATACGTTTCTACTGTGTATACAGACATTGATGGCTTCACCCCAGAAGAATATCTTCTAGTAGCTGGACTTAAGAGAAGAATGCAACTTGGCAGTGATTTAGGTAGGCTTCAAGGTTGAGCTGTGGGAACATTAATAGTAACCTTTGCATTTGATATAACATCTGATCATATCATCGAGAAGTTCCCAAGCGCTTCACAGGACTTCTTACTGTAAAATGTAGTGACTGTGTATTTGTGCTCCAATGCAACAGCCAATTTGCACACAGCAATATCCCACAAGTAATCATGCAATGAATAACCAATTTTATTTGGGGGATTGTTGGTCAGGACACTGGGAGAAAGTCCCTTCTCTTTTTGAATAGTGCCATGGGATCTGTCACATCCATCTGAACAGGCCAAGACTTTGGTTTGCAAGGATTGCAAGGATTATTATTATTATTTGCACACAAAGCTGGATGATTTGAATTGTAAGACTCTTAAGCAACAATATCTGGTATTAAACCAAATATTAAAAAAATCATTTTAATTAAATTAAGCATCAGACATAGCCACGTGCAAATTGCATTTGCTTACGTAATACAAACTCACTACACTTTGAGAATATGGCAAAATGTTGAATTCAGTTTTAACTTTGAAGTTTTTTTTCTATTATTAAAAGAACTAAAAGAAAAGCAACTTCAAAATCAAATACTGAATTTAAGACAATTTCTGGATGTGCTGACATGTTTCTTTAATAGAGTAAATCTAAACACAGGTGGAATTTTTCCCTGATGATTTTCACACTTGTACTCTGCTGAGTTGTTATATAATATACAATACCTTGTACATATCTTCTAAAACACAGAATGCCTTTATATAGATCATATTGTAGACATGAGCATTATATAACAACTGGACGTGGATATTTCCAATTGCCTTTTTTTTTAGCCAGTCGTTGGATTTCATATTTTCAGCTCCTGATGTTTGTGCATGATGTGCCGTATATTTCTATCTGGATTGCAGATGTGCAACCTGTAATTCTATACTATTCAATGAGTGACTCTTACATTCTTTGGCATCGTGGAAGGATTAATAACTCATTCCTGTGGAATACAAACAATGTCTGTTGCATACCCTGGAATAGACATTATATGGCCCAGGAGTAAATGAAGCTGTTTTGTTGCACATATCTATTACCAATAAATCAGGAATGGAAAGTATACAAGTTCCTATCATAAGTCTTATCATATTTTACATGCACATTATATATAAATTAATGAGCTTTGCAGACATGATCTGGATTTGCAGACTCATTATAAGGTAGTCAAATTTGCAGATAACACCAAGTTACAGGGAATTGTGAAATCAAGAGAAGGCTGCAAAGGTCTTACATAGAGAGCTTTGCAGGGTATGGACATGGGCTGATAACTGGCAAATTAAGTTTAATACAGATAAATGCAAAGTACTACATATAGGAAGTCACAATAGGAAACCCATGCACTCCACAATTGAGATAGAACTTGCCAAGAAGGTAGCTGAAAGAGATCTAGGGATATTGATGGACTCATCAATCACTGTTATGTTAAAGCAGTGTAATTAGCAATAAACAAGGCAAACAGGATGTTAGGCTACATTGCCAAATCAACTGAGTTCAGATCGCCAGACATCATATGCGGGCTTTAGAGTACTCTCATCAGGCTACATACTACATACAATTCTGGTCAGATGCAGAGGCAGTGCAGAGGACAGAAATGAAGATGATCCCATCTATTGGAGAAATTAGTTATGAGCAATGATTAAACAAATGGTCAGAGGAGACCTTATAGCAGTATCTACTTTAAATGGAATTGAGAAAGGAAACCCAGAACAATACTTTAGGATGTACTAAGATAGGAAAACAAAAGGACACAGGTTTAGAATTGCAAAGGGTAATTTCAGGAAGTATTTCTTTGCTCAAAGGTAATTAATGAGTGGAGCAGGTTACCAGGAAGGAGAGTTGAGACCAGGACATTGAACTTATCTTGATGATGGGTGGGAAGTCAGTAGAGCAGTTGGTTTGGATGATATCAAACTGGTCAAAGGGACGTCAGCATCCAAACTA